ATTCTATTAAAAACAAATGTAATACTTAGAACTTGTTATTTCCTAATTATTTTACTATTACCTGTGCTTTATAGCTGGTGTCTATTGTATTTTTATAGTAGAAATATTATATAGTGCTTTAACAGTATGCTGCTGCACACCCCTTCCCAGCACCATGTGTTTGGTGATATCACATTAGTAAATTGAAATCTGCCAGGGTAGGAGGATTTGCACCATGGAAATTGGCAAGTGTTACAAACCAGGTCTCCAACTCTTAATCATTTCCCGGCACACACTGTGTAGGGTAGAGAGAGACGAGCTAATTACAATATTTTACTTAGGGAAGCACAGAGTGCCGTGGGAACCCAGAAGAAAGGAAGTTAGCCTAGTGGGTAGTGGAGGATGATGGGGAAGACTTCCAGAAAGAGGCTTGAAGGACTGGTAGAAACAAACTGGGTGGGGATAGGGCATAGGAGTCTAGTGTATTTCAGAAGTGGTGTTTTAGCACTACAGTAACACGTCTTTAGGACAAGGATGGGATGATGAGGGCCAGGCTGGGTATCTGAGATTTATTCTGAATGTGGTGAGGACCAGTGAGAGGTTCACAAGGAACATACCTAGCTCACACTGACATTCTGTAAAGGCCACCCTGGAGTCTGGGAGGAGGTTATAACAGTCATCTAGGATGGAGTTCTTGATAGTCTAGACCGAGGTTGTGGTAGCAGTGACCATGAGAAAGGAACAAGGTGGAGAGATATTAGAGGACATAGGATTGATGAGACTTGTGGTTGTGTATGAAGGTTGTGAGAGAGGCAAGAAGATCTTAATGGTGACATCCTAGTTTCTGCCATGAAGAGATGAGTAGGTGGTTAGTTTATCCCCAAGATAGAGCAAACAGAAAGAAGAGTAGGCCTGAGGGAGGCCAGGGAGCATTCATTTTGAATATGTTGTGAATTTCTGTGTAAAATCTAAGTGGGCAAGTCAAGACAGACATAGGACCTGTGGAACTGGAATTTGGAGTACAGGAGAGGGGAGGTGATAGGCCAAGGGAGGTGGTATGGCATGAGAAAAGAGCCTCATGTTTAGAATTTGTGTATTTTCATGTATAATAATTTCTACAAATAACATTTTATGTGTATTGATTTACAGTTTAACTCCAAAGGCCAACCCTACTTTCATTTCTTTCTAAATTCCAGTTGTTGAGCTGATTACTCCAGTCTCTCACTTCCAAGAAAAAGCAAAGGGTTTTAAGGTCAGTTCATTGATGACAAATATGTAATGATTATCTGCTGTGGATGTGGCCTGATACTGGGCAGGCTGAGCCCAACAAGAATCCTTGGCTACATGGTTCTTGCCCACTAGGAACGTTGCATTTAGTATGAGGAAGTGCATGGTTAGATTTGTCTTATGAAAAGGTAATCAAAGCCTGGGTGGTATCCTGTATACTGTAAGAATTTAGAAAAGTCAATTACAACTTAAGGCTAAAATATTCAGAAGACTTCCTAGAGGACACAGAGCTTAACTGGTCCTGGAAAAACTGGTATTTAGATTGCATTTCAAGAAATGGGCGAGGGAATCTGTTTGTAGTGAATGAGCATGTGATCCTAGGCTGAGGAATATGTAGATGTTTGTGTGCATATATGTCCATATAGTGTCATACATATATTACTGGAGGGTGAAGGCTGTGGTGGAAATAGCTTGGGCTTCAAGTCAAAGATTTCTGAACTGAGATCCCATCTCTGTCTGTTATTATCTGTGTGACAAAATTCTTAGCTTTTGAGCCCTCGGAACCTCCTTTAACTTGCTACTCCTTGAAAGTAGTAAACAACTGAATGAGTGCTCACAAGTTTGTGCCTTCCATAATCAGGGATCCAGAATCTACTCCAGATATCCCATGTTTTCACAGAGGAGCAGTGCAGAGAAAAGAGAAAGAGAACTTGTGTTCTTTCTGATGCCAAGACTTGTCCCTGCATCCAGGGTGGAAAAGACTATGAATGGAATGGGAAAACCAGATGGCCTGTGGCTTTCAATCACTTATTTTTTCAGAAAGTTTTAGTGTGAATTGCGTTTTGTTGCATTTTAGTCTCTGGTAATAGGCAATCTATGAGACCCTGTGGTAAGCACATAAACAGGGACACATCATCATTTGGCTATTCTGGATAGCTGGAAAGCACAAAGAACAGTGCAATGGGGAGACTGATAACACTGGAAGTGCTTCCAAAATGGCTTTATTTCATCTGCATCTCTCTGTTCCATATATATGAAATGGAATTAAGAATGCCTGTCCACTGGGCTTTTATTAGCTTTAATCTTATTATTTCCTTGTTACAAACCTTCAGTAGTTACCTGATCAATACCAAATTATATTTTTTCTTCCTGGCTTTTAAGTCTCTGTACCATATGAAGACAGCATTTATATTGAATATTTGTGCACTGTTTTATAGTTTCTAGACATCCCAGGAATGTAGGTATCATTTAGTATGAAAAAATACTTTGCATCACTTACCATATCAAGATATTAAAAAGAAAAATCTATATGATCATCTCATTAGATTTACAAAAGTGTTTGGTAAAATTCAGTGTAAGTTTATGATTAAAAATTCAATAAAACAAAAGGAAATTTTCTTAACTTGATGATGGGCATCTCCAGAAATCCTGCAAAACACTCAGTGGGAAAAAACTAGAAGCATGTTCTTTAAAATAAGGAAGATGGGGCCTCGCCTGGTGGCGCAGGCGATTGAGTGCTGCACTGTGAAGCTGTCCGCAGCCTCTGCAGCGCTGGTTTGATCCCGGCCAGCAGGCGAGGGTCCCACATGGTGAGGCAGACCTCTCCTATCGCGCCCGCTACTCCCCTCAGCAGTTTCGTTAGTCTGCCTGTTCTGTTCCCCACTCTGTCTCTGGTGAATCCTCTCGCCTTCCCGCACATCTAGTCATTACCCCGGTTCTTGTATAAATAAATAAAAAATCTTTAAAAAAAAATAAGGAAGATGACAAGAATATTCACTTTTTTCTCTTCAACATTGTGATTGATCATCCTAGCCAGTGCAAAATTTCTTTCAAAAGAGAAATTAGAGGCCTAAGAAATGGGAAAGAGGAAAAAAAAAAAAAACTGGCATCGATGCTGGTAATATGATTGTTTAAATAATATACCTAATTGTACCTTTAGACAAATAGAAATAATGGGAACATTTGGATAGGTGGCTGGATATAAGATCAATTTAAAAAAATTAAACAATCAGGGCCTCCCCGGTGGCGCAGCGGTTGAGTGCTGGGCTGCGAGGCTGCCCACAGCCTCTGCAGCGCCGGTTTGATCCCGGCCGCCGGGTGAGGGTCCCACATGGCGCGCAGACCTCTCCTGCCGCCCGCTGCTCCCCTTAGCAGTGTACTTCGGTCCTTCTGCCTGCTCTGCTCCCTGCTCTGGCTCTGGTGAATTCTCTCACCCTCCTGCGCTTGTGACTGTACCCAGTGCTTGTATGAATAAATAAATAAATAAATAAATAAATAAATAAATAAATCTTTAAAAAAAAATTAAACAATCAAAAATATTTTAAAAAGATACTATTACTATGATGAAATATCAACAAAAATTTTAAATGACTTAATGAATTTAATATGTTTAAGACTTTCATACAGAAAAACATCAAAATTTAAGCGACAGTAAAGAGGACCTAAATAAATGGAGAGATATTACATGTTCGTGGCCAGGAAGACATAATATCCAGAAAGATGCTGGTTTTAACCATATTGATCTATAAATTTAAGGCAGTTTCTATCAAAATCTCATCAGTTCCAATCTTTCTTGGAACTTAAAAACTAATATTAAAATTTGTATGGGGGGGGAAAAAACATTTGTGTGAGAGAGTTAAGAAATCAGAATCATCAAGACACATCTGAAGCATAATAATGGGATGGGGACCTGCCCTCTCAGATATCAGGCCTCGTTACAAAGCTACTATAATAATGTGGCTCTGGAACAGAGACAGATGAACTGACCAATGGAGAGATTAGGGTCCAGAAATAGACCTTTTTATATTTGGATCTTTGCTATGTGACCTAAAGTGGCATAACACATGAGTGGGAAAAGAAGGAGTGTTTAATAAATAGAACTTATGGGGAAAAATTAGATATCTATTTCACATTGTGACATAAAAGTCAGCATCAGATCAAATGAGGGCTTAAATATCAGAATGTAACCCAAACTCCATAGCCTTGCTTATGTACCAGCACTTACAGGACAGTTGATTCTTCTAGCCTATTTTCTTCATTCTCTCCTCTGGTTTTACTAAACTTTCAGTACTTTGAACACCTTGACTCTTTTTCTCCGTGTCATTGTATATATTGTTTTCTCTGCCAGAATAGTCTCCATTTTTCCTTTTACCTGGCTAATTTCTGCCTTCTTAACATTTTTGCTCTTCCTTAGGTTCTAGGAAGTTTTCCCTCAACCTGCCAGCACTTGGATAGTTGCCCATCCTCTCAAATTCCTATTAAATAATAATACTTATGAAACAGTGTTTAAAGATTTACTTGGCTTTTTCTTCCATTTAAGTCTGCTTTATGACAGCAGCAGCTCAGACTTGTTTATTGTTGTTTCTTTTTAGTTTAAACACAGTGGCTGGCACAGAGTAGTCTCATTAAAATGTTTGTTGAAGGAGCAAACATCCCTGTGAATTAAATGGTATGGTGTTCCATCTCCTCCCTGCTCCCATCCCCCCATTAGGGGAGGGAGGGGCTGGAGGATCATGACCTCCCACAAAGTCACATAAGTGGTGGTGGAAGAAGCTGAGCTGGGTATTAGCTTCCATCAGATGACTACACTTTGCATGGTAAGATACTGCAGAAATGCTTGAGCCAATGCATTTCCTTTCCTGCTGGGTCTCTGGTGAAAAAAAAAAAAACAAAACAAAACAGACTGACAGATGCCCTCGGTGGGTGGACAAGTGCATGGATTTGTGACAGTTGGATGAATGGGTTTACCAACATGTGATCCTCTCCTTCTCCTCCCACTACTTTCCTCTTCACAGCATCAAACCAAGCTCCCAGCCCCCGATACAGGCTGGAGATGAGGAGAAGAACCAGAGGACCATCACTGTCAACCCTGCCCACATGGGGAAGGCGTTCAAGGTTATGAATGAACTGCGGAGGTACTTTTCCTATTTTGCCTGTGCCCTTTCGGAAGGAACTTGCTGGGTGAGCGTCATCAGGGACTGAAACAGAAGTCAGAACACCACCACCTAATGAATTCTTACTTTCCCCCACCCACTCTCAGACAATCACTTGGCTTCCCTTTTCAAACTCTGATCAAGACAGAATGGCTTTCGCAAATCTCTTTTTCCTTTTTATTTATTTATTTTTAGTACCTATCATTTTAGTGCTTAATCACAGGGGAAAAATCCTGTATGGGTACAGCATTTCTGTTCATAAACTTGATTTCCAACCAAACCAGCTGCTTGAAGACCAATAATAGAATGATTGCAACACCTACACACAATTGCAGATGAAAGATTTTGGATGCCACACATTTTTCTTTGGCTTCCCTTTCTCATTCCTTGTTCTGAACTTAGCTTGTCAAGACAGCCACTGAATGGAAGAGTACCTAGCTTCTTAAATGCAATTTAAGTCTGTAAAGAAAAAAATGAAATGAAAATATACTTATCCTCCCTGAGATAATGGTGAGGGGTGTGCAGGCTGTTTGTAAAGCCAATGTGATGTTTGATTAGTTTGTTGCCAGAGAGGTCAGGGCACTGAACACTTATTTTTTGAACAAAGGCTGTGTACACAATCTCTTCCTCATCAGAGTACTCAGAAGCTTCCTTTTATTTATTCACCACAAATGTCATTTACCACATTTATTTACCATTTACCACATTTATTTACCATTTATTTACCACATATGTCATCCCATTGTGAGCTGTAATTGTTTATCTTTTTTGTCTGTATTTTATGAGCTCCCTGAGGGCAGGGGCCTCTGAATCTTTTATGGGTACAGCATTTCTGAATCATTTTGTGTTCTCTAGCTCTTGATACTTAATACACCCTTAGTCACTCACCAAAGACGCCTGGAGACACTGGTTAAACTCTGGGATAGGTAGGTAGGGATACAAAGTAAAAAATATAAATAAGTCAATGGAAGTGATCTTTCTATAGTTCAAATAGGTGTTATGAAGGAGGAAAATAACAGATGCCTGCCAGATGACAGGTTTATAGTAATTACTTGTTTCTTAAAATGCTATAGAAGCAACTTGGGAGAATGTTCCTATAGGGAATATGCTTGAACTGAATTTTGACGTGCAAGTAAAAGTTAGGTGAAAGGTGTAGGATTACGGAGGAGTCTTCTAGGTAGAAAAAAATGACATCCGCAAAAGCACATACAGGTGAAGAAGTATTTTATTGAGTTGGGGAATTGACCTGTTTTTAAACAAAAGTTCTCGCTGATTCTATATTTGCTTTCTCATTTCTCCTTTTGTTGGATCTAGTCTTTGGCATTAGAAACTAAGTTTAATTAGTTAAATTTATCTTGTGACCTACTACTCAATTTTTTGTTAGATCTCCTGCCAGATTTCCTGGACTATCTGCCCACAGCTGTCTTAAGCAGTGGGCAGTGTTGATGAGTATGCCTATGCATATGGTTCTCCTGTCACTGAACAATTTGTGTTGTGTTCCCTAGACACAACAGTTCTTCATTTAGTTCCCTTGAGTATGGCTTGTGTCCTTTATCTTATTTAAGACCCTAATAAACAGTATAACTTTACATCTGAAGGAACAGAAAAAGGACAAACTAAGCCCAAAGTTAGCATAAGGAAGGAAATAATAAAGACTAAAGTAGAGATAAGTGAAATAGAGACACATAAGACAACAGAAAAAAAATCAGTGAAAGTAAGAGCTGGTTTTTTTTTTTTTTTTTTTGGAAAATAAAATTGACAAACTTTTAGCTTGACTCTCCAGGAAAAAATGAGAGAGAATTAAATAATATTATAAATGAGCAAAGAGACATTGTAACTAATACAATGGAAAACTAAAACATCATAAGAGTTTACTATGAACAATTACATGCAAATAAATTGGATAGAAGAAATCATTACATACCTTGAAACATTTAACTTACCAAGACAGAATCATGAAGAAATAGAAAATCTGAATAAACCAGTAATGATTAAGGAACTTGGAGCAGTAATCTAAATCTCCCATCAAAGAAAAGCCCAACACCAGAAGGTTTAACTGGTAAATTCAACAAAATAGTTAAAAAAGAGTTAATAGCAGTTCTTCCTAAACTCTTCCAAACAAATTGAAGAGGAAGGAGCACTTCCAAATTCATTTTACATGGACAGCATCACCCTAAAACCAATGCCAGATAGGGATACTAAAAGAAAACTGTAGACTAGTGTGCCTGATGAATATTGATGCAAAAATCCTCAATAAAATACTAATAACCAGTCTCATCAGCACATTAAAAGATCATATATCAGGATCAAGTGAGATTTATCGCTGGGATGCAAGGATGGTTAGAAAACAGGCAAATCTATAAATGTGGTACACACATTAGTAGAATGAAAGATAAAAATCATATGATCCTCTGAATAAATGCAGAAAAAGTGCTTGACAAAATTCAGTGTTCATTCTTGATAAAAAACTCAACAAATTGGATAAACTCAAACTCAAGCCATACTCAAGGGAATTAAAGGAGCATAATGCAACATAATAAAGGTCACATATGACAACTCTAATACATTTACCATTATACTCAAAGTGAAAGCTTGAAATTTTTTCCGCTGAGATCAGGAATAAGACAAGGATGAGCCCTCCCTGGTGGTGCAGGGGTCAAAGTCTCAGTGCCTATCAGGCTATTGCCAGCCTCAGCTGCCTGGGGCCAGGGAGCTAACCCACATGGTGCAGCAGACCTCTCCTGTCTGACCCACTGCCCCTCAGCAGTATATTTCAGTCAATCCACCTGTTCTGCTCACCATTCTGTCTCTGGTGAATCCTCTTACCCTGCCCCCATACATCTGGCCTATACATCAGTTTTTGTATACATAAGTAAATAAAAATAAATCTTACAAATTTTTTAAAGATTTATTTATTTATTTATACAAGCACTGGGCTATAGTCAGAAGCACGGGAGGGTGAGAGAATTCACCAGAGCCAGAGTGGAGAGCAGAACAGGCAGACTGACGAAATGTGTTGCTGAGGGGAGCAGTGGGTGGCAGGAGAGGTCTGCAAGCCATGTGGGACCCTCGCCCAGCGGCCGGGGATAGAACCAGTGCTGCAGAGGCTGCGGGCAGCTTCGCAGCCCAGTGCTCAACCGCTGTGCCACCAGGGAGGCCCAATAAAAATAAATCTTTAAAAAAAAAAAAGATGTCAACACCACCATTCCTATTGAACATAGTCCTCAAAGGCCTCGATAGAGCAATTAGAAAAGAAAAAGTAATAAAAAATTCTAAATCCAGAGAGGAAATAAAATTGTCTCTGTTGCAGATAACGTGGTCATATATAAAGGAAACTACAAAGTCATCACCAAAAAAACTATTGGAACTACTAAAATAGTTTGGTAAATTGCAGGATACAAAATCAATATACAAAGAATCAGGTACATCTGTATACACTAATAATGAACCATATGAAAAATGGTTAAAGAAAATAACCCTATTTATAATAGCTTCAAAAAGAATGAAATACTTGGGAATAAATTTAACCAAGGAGGTGAAAGATCTGTAGACTAAAACAGTAAGATACTGATGGAAAAGTTTGAAGAAGACACAATAAATGGAAAGATATCCTGTGTTCATAACCCAGAAGAATTATTATTGTTAAAACGCCTACACTACCAAAAGCTGTCTATACATTTAATACAATTCCTATCAAGATTCCAGTGACATTTTTCACACTGAAAAAAACACTGAAAATCTGTATGGAACCAAGACCCTGAGTAGCCTAAACAATCTTATAAGAGAATGAAACTGGAGGCATCAAATTTTTTATTTCAAACATTATAAAAATATAGGAATCAAGATAGTATGGCATAGACCCATAGACCAGTGGAACAGAATAGAGAGCCCAACAATAAACCCATGCACATAATAGTTGACTAATATTTGAGAAGGGAGTCAGGAATACTCAGTGGAGAAAAGAGAGTGTCTGTTAGATGATGTTAAGAAAACTGGATTTTCATATGCAAAAGAATAAAAACGGATCCCTGTCTTATATATCACTCTCAAAAATTAACTTAAAATGAATTAAAAACTTAAGTGTAAGACCTGAAGCTGTAAAACTCCTAGAAGAAAATACAGGGAAAAGTGTTTATCATTGGTATTGGCAATGACTTTTTTTGATATGACACCAAAAGCATAGGCAACAAAAGCAGAAATAAACAAGTGGGACTACATCAAACTGAAAAGCTCCTGTATAGCAAAGGAGCTCATCAACAAAATGAAAATTCAACCTAGGATTCAGAGAAAACATTAATAATCCATATGTCTGATAGGGGATTAATATTAAAATATGTAAGAAATTCATATAACTCAATAGGGGGAAAAAACAAAGAATGAGCAAAGGACCTGAATAGACATTCCCTCCCACCCCCCAAAGAAGATATATACAAACGACCAACAAGAACATGCAGAGAAGCACAACATCAATGACTATCAGGGAAGTGGAAATCAAAACCACAGTGAGATATGACCTCACACCTGTTAGAGTGGTTCGTTTCAAAAAGATAAGCAATAACCAATACTGAAGAGGATGTGGAGAAAAGGGACTGTTAGTGGTATTGTAAATTGGTGAGGTCATAATGGAAAATGGTATGCAGTTTCCTCAAAAAATTAAAAATCTGGGCCTCCCCGGTGGTGCAGCGGTTGAGCGCTGGGTTGCGAAGCTGCCCGCAGCCTCTGCAGCGCCGGTTCGATCCCCAGCTGCCCCCCGGCCACCAGAGGAGGATCCCACATGGCGCGCAGACCTCTCCTGCCGCCCGCTGCTCCCCTCAGCAGTGTACTTCAGTCTGCCTGCTCTGCTCCCCGCTCTGGTTCTGGTGAATTCTCTCACCCTCCTGTGCTTCTGACTGTACCCAGTGCTTGTATAAATAAATAAAAATAAATCTTTAAAAAAAAATTAAAAATCTATCTACTACATTTAATTCAGCAATACTATTTTT